CTAAAGAAGTTCTTTACCTGGTGGGCTCTGGCTCAGTCTGACCGTGCATTATCTAAACAGGCATTTGAGCTAAACTTGTATCAGGTGAGCTGCACACAAAGACAGATGGATGGAATAAAACTCAAAACCATCACCAACAGATAGCCAGAGCTTCCATCATCTCCCGCAAGGCCCATCTTAATAGGCCTCTGGATAAGCTCTCTCTTCTATTCTCATTCACCACATTAAGTCTATTCTCTACCCTGTCCCAGAATATTCTTTTCCAAATGTAAACTAATTCTCTTTTCCTCCTCCTTAAGATCCTTTAATGGCTCTAGTTTGCCCCAAGGATAAAGTTCGTGCTCCTTTACTTGGTGGCATCAAAAACCCTCCCTGAGCACTCTTTTCTGCCTTTGAGTCTGGCTCCCCTTCTCATACTCCTGACTCAGCCCTGGCCCACGTGCCTGTTCCATGTCCCTGTGTCCTTATAGGCACTCTCCCTTCCACGTGACATGCTCTTGCCCACCCCCTGCATCCTGGAAGAACCCATATCCCACCACAGAATTTCTCTTGCTTGGGCCCAATTTTGCCCAGGCCCTGTCAAACAGGAGCCATTGTCATGGTAAAAACAAGAGCTCAAGTAGATTCTTGATGCAATTAATAAACTCTCTGTCTCAGCAAAGTCACATAAAATTTACGTAATTGTTTCATGCAAGATAAAGCATTAGCTGTGACCTCTTGCTAATCATTTCCACCTCTGATTTCCTATTTTGATTTCAAATGCATAAGCGAATTTAATGAAGGGCTTGCATGATGACCCACTGCTGGGGCACAGACACCTGGAAGTGACATTGTTCAGACTATGAACAGTTATCTGAGACCTATGTGGCTGAGTTTTAAATTGGTGTTTATCAAAACATTTCTAAATTATCTCACTCCTCAAAGATTCTCTAAGGAGGCTGGGTTATAAAATGGCCAAGCTCTTTTATTTCAGTGGTCTAGCTTTAGGCCATAATAAAATGTGAGCTGGTGTTTAAAGAGACTCATGAGGAATATAGGGATGGAAAATGAGTTTCATCATAAAACTGTTCAGTCATTCTCTGTGCTCCTATGATCATCGGGGCCAACTTCTCCATCAGAACAGGAAGCTCATGGCTGAAAGCCCATGATACTTTTAGGAGCCCACAAAAATGTTTCAATTTCTTCTAAAACCAGAAGAAAAAAATGAACTTTTAGGGTGAACAATGTTTTAATTTTTTTCTCTCATCAAAAATGAATGATAAATGTTAGAAACTATATTAGTTTGCTAGGGCTTCCAGAACAAAAGACCACAGGCTAGGTGGCTTAAACAGCCAAAATGTATTTTCTCAGGATTCTGGAGGCTGGAAGTCCAAGCCAGGTGCCAGGAGGGTTGACTCCCTTGGGACCTCTCTCCGTGACTTGTGGATGGTGTTCACTTGCTGCTTCTTCCCAAAGCCATCCCCTGTGCACATGTACTCTTTGTGTATCTTTTTGTAGCAAAATTTCCTCTTTTTATAAAGACACCAGTCTTTGAATCAGGGTTCACCCTAATGATCTCCTTTTTTTTTTTTTGAGACGGAGTTTCGTGCTTGTTGCCCAGGCTGGAGTGCAATGACGCGATCTCTGTTCGCCACAACCTTTGCCTCCGGGTTCAAGTGACTCTCCTGAATGGCCTCTTTTTAACTCAATCCCCTCTTTAAAGACCCTATCACCAAATACAGTCACATTCTGAAGTACTGGAGATTAGGGCTTCAACATACGAAATTTTGAGAAACACAGTTTAGCCCATATCAGGGTCTACAAAAATCTATTATTATGAGAAGGACCCACAAAGGCAAAAGGACTGACAATAATCATAGTATTGAAACTGCCATTGCAAAAATTATAACATTGAGAAAATTATGACACTGAAAGAAATCTGATCTGACCAACTCTATCTTGCCTTTAACCTCCAAAATGCCCTTGGTCATTCCTAAGCATGGGCCAAGCTAACTTTGGGAGTAATTTAGTTTATAGTTCAAATGACAATAGACCTTCCCCAAACTCAACTGCCTCTGTAACACTAATGAAAAGTCACTAGGTTAGGAGAATGAGAGGGACCTGAATTCCACTAAGATGTAGGCATAGTTAAACAATTACTAACCATTATTCCAGAGATCATAAGATTTGCAACTTTCCCTATTATTCCTGTAAATTACATTACCATTGTATAACCCAAGATTGGTCTTTTGAGATGTCTTTCAGGCTTTTGCACTTTCGAGGGCTGGATGGCACCACTTGGATCCATGACTCTTGACTCAACTGGTCCTGTGGTCCTCACCCAGAAGTGGACTCAGTGCATGAGGACCATTTTCCACACCCCTGTGACTGCACACTCAACTAATCAGTAGCACCTATTCCTTAGCCCCATGCCTGCCAAACTATTTTTGAAAAGCCCTAGCCTCCAAATTCTGGGGGAGGCTGATTTGAGTAATAATAAAACTCTGGTCTCCCATTTAGCTGGCCCTATGTGAATTAAACTCTTTCTGTACTCCAATTCCCCTGTCTTGACAAATTGGCTCCATCTGGGCAGCAGGGAAGAGAACTTGCTGGGCAGTTACAGTGTGGTCCTGGTGACAGTAGATTAGGTTGATTTTCTGCAGGCAGGAGAATGGAATGAGAAAGTGTCGTGGCAGTCTGTGGAAATTCAGAATGGTTAAGCCAATGATAGCAAGGATTCTACTGCGTTTACTAACAGGAGCTCCATCTTCTCCTGTCAAACCCATTGTTGACTGAAACTCAAAAACATGTAGAATCAATAAAACATGTTACAACAATTCTTATTGAACTTTCTTCTTAAGAGGTCTACCTATTGGCCGGGCACAGTGGCTCACGCCTATAATCCCAGCTCTTTGGGAGGCTGAGGCAGGCGGATCATGAGGTCAGGAGTTAGAGACCAGCCTGACCAAGACGGTGAAACCCTGTCTCTACTAAAAATACAAAAACTAGCTGGGCATGGTGGTGCACACCTGTAATTTCAGATACTCAGGAGATTGAGGCAGGAGAGTCGCTTGGACCTGGGAGGCAGAGGTTGCAGTGAGCCAAGATCATGCCACTGCACTCCAGCTTGGGCCACAGAGCAAGATTTGACTCAAAAAAAAAAAAAAAAAAGGGGGTCTAACTGTTTACCAGGCCATCAATTTAAAAAATTTATACACTAGATTCATTCAGTAAACATATAATTACTTGCTACTAAACTGCAAAGTGCTGTGCTGGGCCCTGTGCTGAACTTATAAAAGCAAACTATCAATGTGTTTTTTATGTCCTGGCCTCTGACAAGAGAGTAGCAGGAACGGGCCGAGTGACTAGGGCCCAGAATTTGACTCACTCAGGATAGGGAAGACCACATCCTGTCTCATATTTCTGCTTCTCATTAACAGGAAGCTGTGTGTGTTCAGAGAGCGCTGCAGACATTAATCATATTCACAGACACCGAGGGAGACTTTCTAACATTCACGAGTGTGTGCTTCCCCAAGGTCAGCAAAGGTCATCCAGAAAGTCAATGTTGAAGGAAGAGTGAGGATCATGCTGCCTGTGAGAGGAAGCCACCAGATGGCCCCAAATGTTAGCCTGGGCACACATGAGGTCATTTATCTTCACCTTTACCGGGAAGAATGAGCAGTGAGTTTCCTCACTGTGTCTCCAAGGGCTGTACTGATTGTCTCACAGAACCACTGGGGGAAGAAAGGAATCATAGGAGAGAATGTACTTATAAAATACCAAGCAGCATACTTGTTATTTATAAAGTTGCTTTTTCATGCATGTCTTTAAAATTTTTCCTAGGCTAGGTGCGGTGGCTCACGCCTATAATCCCAGCACTTTGGGAGGCCGAGGCAGGTGGATCACGAGGTCAGGAGTTCAAGACCAGGCTGGCCAGCATGGTGAAACCCTCGTCTCTACTAAAAATACAAAAAAATTAGCTGGGTGTAGTGGTGCGTGCCTGTAATCCCAACTACTTGGGAGGCTGAGGCAGGAGAATTGCTTGAACCTTGGAGGCAGAGGTTGTAGTGAGCTGAGATTGCGCCACTGCACTCCAGCCTGGGTGACAGAGTGAGACTCCATCTAAAAAAAAAAAAAAGAAAAATCCCTGCAGGAGCTAGGACTCGGTCCTGCTGGGGGTTGACTGTGACTAGAGGATTCAGTGCCTCACCAGTGAGAACACTTGTGGAACTACTGCCCTGAATACACAGGGGACAATTTTCACCCATGTCTGGGGAAGGCGTGAGGGAATTGTGCTGCGGGTTCAGTTATCAAACAAACCAGGTGAAGCAGAGGTCTCAGGGAATGGCTGTGAAAGCATTCATGATTCCTTCTTCTAAGTATAGTTCTATGGGAAGAAGTGGTGTAATCCAGACCCAGGGCTCTAAGTTGGCATTGACCTCAAGGATCAAAACGCTAAAAAGAAACTTATTAAGACCAGTAAATAATTGACATGGGCTCCTGGAGACACTCAGTGAAGCATTTCCAAGGCATCTAACCACAAACTATAAATGTTAATTGGCACCCTTAGATGACAGACTCAGATAAGGAGATCAAAGGCACAGGAAGTCATAACTCCTGACATCGCTTTTCAGACAAGTCAGGTTAGAATCATCTTACTCTTCAAAATGCTTTTCACCATGTTTCTGCCCTGATGGGCACGGAAAGTTAATTAGAGAGTGATCAGCAAGAGGGTGGGGTCTGCCCTTCATGATCAAGTCTGGACAATCATGTGTGCGGAATATTTGCTTAGAATAAGGCTGTTTATTCTCTCTCTGGAAGTTAAGTGCACCTCAGCTGTCAGATTAATCATTAAACTAAGCAATTTTTAGATAAACTTAATCTGAAAATTAGCCCCATGGCTTCCCCAGCACTGAACTCAAGCCCATCTTCCTTGAGTTACGTGATGATGGTGTTTCACAGTTCTGTAGTTTACTCCCAATGCAATTCCAGAGTCTTCCTCTTTTTGTCCCTCTAGGTTTCAGAGCAGCCTCTTCAGGAGGATCCCAGCCATGAAGACTCTACCCTAAGGGAGCTTATTCCATAGCTGACCCCTCACAAGGGCAAGTTCACAGAGGTAAGAGATGTGAATGTGTTTCCTCCCGTCCTTCTGAGGAGGCAGGGGCCGACCTAGCTGTGCTGAGGCCAACTCTGAACCTCACTTGTCTAAGTTCTTGGGATTCCTTCCCAGGTATGTAGCCTTGGGAGGACAAGACATAGGATGAGAAGAGCTGACTCCTACTCAAGGACATTTAGCAGTGGCTTTCTTTCACCTTCCGAGTATCTCCTTTTCTTCAAACAAGCAGTAGACTACATTTGAGCCTTCCTCAAGCTCCCAATACAGTGCAGTCTCATCCAATTCTCCCCACCACTTGGGGAGCTGTTCCCTCTTTGCTGTCCAAGCTGTATGACTTCCCTGGGGTCCCAGGGTGACATCCTGGGAAGTGAAAACAATATAAAATGAAGGGAAATAAAGAGGAGCCTGCTCCCTGCTGAGCCTGAGCTCCAGCCTACTGGGTACAAGCCAGAGACAGGTCTCCTTTCCTTTCTCAACATGTTCACTTGGGGCTTCCATGCTGTTTTGCAGGAGTGGAGAAATTTAAAATGGAAATGGACTAGCTGGCCAAAAACAGACAAGTATTTTCTTGTACCTTGAGGCTACTTTCCAAAGCATATAGGTGGCAGACCTTGTCTGGCTTTGGTCTGGCAGAACGCACTGGTCACAAACTTCACTTGCAGTGGATAACAGCCTCATTTCAATGGCTCAGAGGAGCCAGAATCATTTCTGCACAGAGGGCCTTCCAGTGACTTATTTAGGACAGTATTCTTTTCTGCTGCGTCGGTTAGACCTTCTCAGCGTCCCCAATATACGGAGAGTTTACTGTGGTTGGAGGAAAGTCCTACCTCATTCAGAATGCAGGTAAAGCCTTGGGGCTGTTGAAAGAAATTCCAGGCAGAGTCTTTTTGCAATGAGTGTATTCTAATAAAGGAAGAAACTGTGTGTCATGGGCTAGGATAGATGAGCATCATCCGTGGGCCAACACATGGCACAGAAACAGATTTATAGGACTGACAGTATCAAGTCCAAGAGGGAAGAAAATTCAGGCCAAAAATAAGGCCTAATACTCCTCTTCTCATTCAGGGCCATGGTACATGCTATGCTTGGAATATATCCCTCAAATGTCAAGTGTTAGGAACTTAATCCATACATTCATATGTAGATGGTATTTGAAGGTGGCACCTTTGGCAAGTCATTAGGATTTGATAAGGGCATCAGGGTGTGATCCACATGGTGGGACTGGTGGCTTTATAAGAAGAGAGAGGCCTGAGCTGGAATGCTTTTGCCCTCCCACCATGCAATGCCCTCAGTTATGTTATGACACAGCAGAGAGGGCCTTACCAGATGCTGGAGCCATGCTCTTGGACTTCCCAGCCTCCAAAACTGTGAGCCAAATGAACTTCTGCTCTTTATAAATTGCTTAGTCTATGGTATTATTATAGCAACAGAAAATGGACTAAGACAGTATAGAATTTACCAGAGTAAGAGATTGGCAAATAACCCTATACTTGCCTTACAATTATACCCGTGCATATCAGTTATTCATGGACTTAGATTCTTATCTCCATGTAACATACAGCTCCACTTCTGGGTTTATGACAGCAGTTACCAGAAGCCCAGGAGGGAAAGGTAGTCCTAATACCACTGCAGGCAATACTGACATGGTGGGATGAGAAGAGGTGGCACAGTCCTTTGTTACAGCTTTTCAAAGAGCCCAGGTCTACTGCTAGAGATGTGATTATTTCCTAGGGACCAAATGAGTTAAGAACCAGACATGTGCATATAAAAGTTCCCTTTTTTCCTTCCTCTGGTTTTCAGACTTCAGGCTGCATAAAAATCAGTGCACAGGATCGTACGCACACACACACACCCCCACACCGCCACACACACACACACACACACACACACACACACACTGAGTTTATGGTACTTTATGGGCTATGTCAGGGCTATCAAGGATGATGGAGACTTTAATCAGTTTTCTGATTTGGGGTCAAGCTCTGCCCAGAGCACCCAGCCTGGGGCTGCTGGATTGACACTGCCTTGCATTGTGCATAGTTGCTCTGGACAGAGGGAATGTTTGGTTTCCTCTATTTGTGGTGAGCAGCTTTTCCTGAGCTGAGGTCCGCAGCCCCGTCCTGATCCTCCGTTTGAGGAATGTTGACAAGACAAGGCTGATTCTTCCTGCAATTTGTACCCCAGCGGGGTCTCTGCAGTTTCAGGACCTCTTGTTTGGCTTAGAAGATTTAGACATTTCATGTTCTTAACTGCTTCAAAAATTGATAAGGCCTTGGGAAACCTATTTATATTAACAACACTTAGAAGAGATCGAATTACAATCTGCGTCAAAATTTGGTTACTGTTGGAGCTTGTGTTGATCAGAATAGGCCTGGCTATGTCACCATGATAGCTCTAAACTCAGGGGCTCAAAGCAACAAAGACTTCATTCTCACTGATGCAAAGGCTACAGCAGGCCCAGGGCAGCTGTCCTCCAAGCAATGCGTTGGTGTTGCACCTCCACATCAACCGTGTTGCTATGATTGATGAGGGAGGGAGAGAGGGCATGCTGGAGGGTCCTCCACTGCTACTTACATTCTCCCCTGAAGTAACACAGCCACCTCCACTCACGGGCCAAAGCAAAGCATGCAGCCACATCACATCTCCAGGGAGCAGGGAAAAACAGTGCCTGGAAGGAAGGGGACTGGAAATATTGGGATTAACCTTTCTAACCACTAGCATGTCCATGGCTGTATTCCCTTCAGAGGGCAAAGCGCCTAAGAAATGGAGTCACCAAGTAGATGTCAGTGAGCATAAGCTGCACAAGAGGAGCTGATGAGCGCTTTTAAAACATAATTGTTAATAATAGCTAACGTTCGTTAATAATAGCTAACATTCATTAATAATAGCTAACATTTGTTAATAATAGCTAACGTTTGTTAATAATAGCTAACGTTTGTTAATAATAGCAAATGTTTGTTGAATGCCTGCTTTGTAGATTTTGGTATAGGACATACAATTTTAGCGGTTATGATGAGCTTAATGAGCCTTTGTTCCTCAGTTGAGTCAGTTTGAGACCAGACTCAGTGGCCATCAGAAACAGGATTTCCTCTACCCATTCATTATGCCCCTCACCTGAATCATGTTACTTTGTGGCAAATATTTTGTAACAGGTTCAATTATGACTTTTTTTTTGCATCACATACATGGATATATATACACACATACACACACAGAGATATATATGTGTGTGTATGTATATTATGTGGGTCTATATGTGTGTCTATATCTACATCTATCTATATCTATTCATCAATGATCAATTCTTCCATGGTAAATTTCAGTGAAGCCTCATTTTTTTTTCTGATGAATTTTAGAAGTACACTGGTTTCCTTGATTACATTTGAGAGATATACTAATATTACCTGCAAAAAACACTCCTTTAACCTTACCCCTAGATTATAAAAGGGGCCTCATGGCAGCTATCCATGAACTGACTACATTTCCACATATTTGAAAAATCTCATTGTATTGGTCCATTTTCATGCTGTTGATAGAGACATACCTGAGACTCAGCAATTTCAAAACAAAGAGGTTTAATGGACTCACAGTTTCATGTGGCTTGGGAGGCCTCACAATCATGGTGGAAGGCAAAAGGCATGTCTCACATGGTGACAGCAAGAGAATGAGAGCCAAGTGAAAGGAGTTTCCTCTTTTAAAAAAACCGTCAGATCTCGTGAGACTTATTCACTACCACGAGAACAGTATGGGGGAATTGCTCCCTTGATTCAATCATCTTCCACTATGTCTCTCCCACAACATCAGGGAACTATGGGAGCTACAATTCAAGATGAGATTTGGGTGGGGACACAGCCAAACCATATTATTCTGTCCCTCGACACTCTCAAATCTCATGTCCTCACATTTCAAAACCAATTATGCCTTCCCAACAGTCCCCCAAAGTCTTAACTTATTTCAGCATTAACTGAGATGTCCACAGTCCAAAGTCTCATCTGAGACAAGGCAAGTCCCTTCTGCCTATTTAGCCTGTAAAATCAAAAGCAAGTTAGTTACTTCCCAGATATAATGGGGGTACCGACATTGGGTAAATACAGCCATTCCAAATGGGGGAAATTGGCCAAAACAAAGGGGCTATAGGTCCCATGCAAATCTGAAATCCAGCGGGGCAATCAAATCTTAAAGCTCCAAAATGATCTCCTTTGACTCCATGTCTCACAAGCAGGTCATGCTGATGCAAGGGGTGGGTTCTCATGGTTCCGGGCAGCTCTGCCCCTGTGGCTTTGCAGGATACAGCCTCCCTCCTGGGCTGCTTTCACAAGCTGATTTTGAGTGTTGGCAGCTTTTCCAGGCTCATGGTGCAAGCTGTCGGTGGATCTACCATTCTGGGGTCTGGAGGATGGTGGCCCTCTTCTCATAGCTCCACTAGGCAGTGCCCCAGGAGATGTGTGGGGGCTACAACCTCACATTTCCCTTCCACACTGCCCTAGTAGAGGTTCTGCATGAGGGCCCCACCCCTTTAGCAAACTTCTGTCTGGAGATCCAGGCATTTCCATACATCTTCTGAAATCTAGGCGGAGGTTCCCAAATCCCAGTTCTTGACTCCTGTGCGCTCACAGGCTCAACACGATGTGGAAGTTGCCAAGGCTTGGGGCTTGGACCCTCTGAAGCCATGGCCCAAGCTGTACTTTGGCCCCTTTTAGTCATGGCTGGAGCCGCTGGAACATAGGGCACCAAGTCCCTAGACTGCACACAGCAGAGGGACCCTGGGCCTGGCTCAGGAAACCATTTGTTTCTCCTAGGCCTCAGGGCCTGTGATGGGAAGGCTGCCACAAAGGTCTCTGGCATGCCCTGGAGACATTTTTCCCATTGTCTTGGTGATTAACATTTGGCTCCTTGTTATTTATGCAAATTTTTGCAGCTGGCTTGAATTTCTCCTCAGAAAATGGGTGTTTCTTTTCATCACATTGTCAGGCTGCAAATTTTCCAAACTTTTATGCTCT